AATTAGTTTTAACCTCACTTTATTTCAAATTTAACTTGAAGCCAACTTCAGCCCGTGGGCAAAATGTTATTTCGCCCTCTAGTGGGAGAAGTAAAATTTCGTCCACCAACTTAAAGTTAAGAAATGAAATGGCAGTTGAATAAAACGTGTTTTTTATAAAAATGAAATAAACCAAGGTTGTAATTATACTGCCAATAGCATGTCTAGTCGTAATAAAATACATTTAGAGATAAAAGACAGAAGAAAACCGAAATATATGTTCATGGGAATAATGTCGTTAAGCTTGATGTCATTTAATCTAGTTATTCTAACTTTGCTTGGTAACATTTGTCTTGTTTTCGAAGTGCAAACATTCAAATTTGTTTATATATTTTTTCAATCAAAAACAAGAGTTCTATAAATAGTTACCTTATAATAATAATTATAACTACCTCAGTCGGTAATAATATAGAACTACTTTATTTTGAGTCCAATATAGGATAAAAAAGTTCGCACGCTACTTTGGTGGTAAGATTTTTGTTTTTTTTATTAAGAGCAGGGCTGTGATTAAATTACAATAAAAAATATTTCTAAAAAGTGTACAGATCAGTGTGTGGTATAAATGTGTTCCTCGTGGTTTAAACATTGTCACTTTAATGCGTTTTAATTTTAATTCTGAAAACAAACAGTAAAATGGCCAGTGTCCAATTACTGGTTGGTAAAAAATGTAAATTTCTATTATTGGACACATGTCCAATATCATACTCTATTTATATCCCGGACATTTACCAGCCAATTCTAATGTAAAATTGTCCCCTGAATCCGAAAAGACCGTCAAAAACTATAAAAGTTAAGTAGTTTTTGAGATATAGTCAATTCCATATAATATGTACAATTGATTATATTTCAAAAACTGTTCTACATTTATAACTTTTGACGACATTTTCGGATTCAGCGAATAAAATTTCATATGAATTGACTGCTAAATGTCCTGGATACAAATTGCTGTTGACGAGAATTATTAGTGGCTGCTTTTTCGCTGTGACATTTTTGACCAATTCATTTTTAGAGAGTAAGTAATACAGTGATTTCTTCGTCACAGGACATCTTGCAGAATAACAGTGCATGATAGAGAACGTAAAAAACGAATGGCAACAAAATAAATAAATTCGGAAAATATATTTAACATACCACCCGAAAAAATATTGGATATATATAAATCATCCTGTTCCGGCCTAAACATTATAAATGCTTCACAAACTAGAGATACCACACTTGATGATATTTGCAACAAACTAGAATTAGTAGTTACCTTCAGAATCCAGAAAAGGGATGAGGAATCCGAGAAAGAAATATAATATTTACAATAACGAAATAAAAAAAATTACCTAAAACATAAATTTGAAAAATATTTAACAATTTATGTTATTTGATGTAAAGTTGTTACACTGAAAGAAATATATACTAAAGTTAAATAAAAAAATAATTAGGGCAAATATATTTTATGTTTCATATATGGACTACCACATACATTGCTAAAACAAATATATTTGTTTGGTTAGCAGCCTATTGCTGCCCTAGCAATATAAATGTGTTAAAACTGACCAAACAGTTCTGGAACTTCTGGGTTGGCGTGGAATTATTATGTAAATTCTAAACAATAATATACTAAATCTTAGCATATCATATTGTCGCCTCACCGAATCAGCATAAAATATTTTAAAGATTGATACAATTTATGTTTGTAACTTTTAAGAAAAATGCCATGGTGTTTCTAGCAATATTTTTTTGCTGTAATTCACTTATAGTTTACATTTTATAGTAAGGGTATACCCTTATAAACTTATAAGTTTATTTTTATTTAGATCTAACATATCTTCTTTACAATAAATGTATTACAAAATTTAACATACATTCATAATAAACAGTAGTATAAATGTGTAAAGCACTAGTATAAAATTTTTAGTATAAATTTGTATTTACTTTTATCAACAAATTTCTTTCAGTGTATGTTTATATGTCCAATAACTATGGTCCATGTGTCCAATTACTACACTGAAAGAAATTTATGTTTCATATATGGACTACCACATACATTGCTAAAACAAACATATAATATATTTACCTTAACCATTTTTATATTTAGTTTTAACATATTATGTTAAAACTAAATATAATATATGTTTGTTTTAGCAATGTATGTGGTAGTCCATATATGAACCACAAACATTGCTAAAACAAACATATATTTCTTTCAGTGTATATAAAATGTCCAATTACTATATAAAATGTCCAATTACTATACTTTTTTGCATGTTTTTATAAAAGTATTATTAAAAATTCAAATATTCAGGTTTACACTACTTTAAACTTGTCACTTACGTAAAAATAACATTTGGGATTATTGAAAAGTAATCTGAGAATCCTTTATTCGTATTATAAAATTATAGTCTCTTTCTTATCAAACTAAACTCTCCCCAATACACTGTATAACAAAAGGCATAGAAACGTCGAAGCATTCAATTGTTCGGAACGAAGAAGCAAGAGTGACTTAGGAACTTGTCTGTAAAATTAGATAAGAACGGAAGTTGAAAAAATCGATGTCAGAATTTCTAAATGAAATATCGGGAGAAACTGTTCAACAAACTCGTTAAAAATAAAAAGGTTGGCATTGCGAACTCTATTTAAGATATCCATCAGCAAAACTAATGTATTGCCCCCATATGAGGGGGTGTCCAATACGCCTATCGTAACCAGAATTCAGCTATCAATAAGCATTACTTAAAAAAATTAAAATAGTTACCAAATGGTTTACACTCACAGGCAAAATAATCGATCCACACATATTTTCGATGAATTTCAATCGCAAATAACTTTTTTATTTCATGTCGGATTTAAACGACTATTAAAGAATATTGTAGATAAATTAATGGACAATCGCTCACATTTTAAAAAATTACTAAAAAATAAACGTACGTTTATAATATACAGGTTTAAACAAAAATATGTTTTTTACTATAAGTTTAAGACACTTGTAGAGTTCAAAACCGTATATTGTTCTAAATTAAGTTTTATTTTATCAAGTCACATCTATTCTTAACAGTTTTGTTTTTAGTTTACATCGATATATTTATTTTTGTGGAAAATATGGACTTTTTAAAAAAACATTGCAATTTCCAATATTTTTCTGTATGAAGAACTAAGGTTGCTATGGTCCATCCATGGGCTATGGAGAATGGCAGTGACAGTTTTGTTGAATCATCCCATACTTGGACATGTCATACACGGCTTTTAAAAGCTATCAAATTGTTTTTTGCAAATTAATGTTTAAATTTTGAGGTGTCTTCTTACTTTAAAAAATGGATATGTCTCCGACTGATGTTGCCAGAGCCATTAATTTAATCCAGGATGGACGGTCACAGTATTACGTGGCAAATGTTTTAAACGCCACAAGAAGTTTGAAGTACAAAGGGCAACATCAGTCGGAGACATTTTTAAAAGTAAGAAGACACCTCAAAATTTACAAAAAACAATTTGATACCTTTTGAAAGCTGTATATGACATGTCCAAGTATGGGATGATTCAACAAAACTGTCACTGTCATCCTCCATAGGCTATGGTTGGACCATAGTTCTTCATACAGGAAAAATATTGGAAATTGCAATGTTTTAAAAAAAATCCATATTTTCCACAAAAATAAATATATCGAGGTGAACCAAAAACAAAACTGTTAAAAATAGATGTGACTTGATAATTAAAACTTAATTTAGAACAATATACGGTTTTGCCACTCTACAGAGTGGCTTAAACTTATGGTAAAAAACATCTTTTTGTTTAAACCTGTATATTATAAACGTACGTGTATTTTTTAGTAATTTTTAAAATGTGAGCGATTCTCCATTAATGTATCTACAATATTCTTTAATATTTGTTTAAATTCGAAATCAAATAAAAAAGTTATTTGCGATTGAAATTCATTGAAAATTTGTGTGGATCTATTATTTTGCCTGTGAGTGTATTTCTACCAAAAATAAATCAAATAAACAATAAACAATTATGAGTACGGTAGAGTAGCGAATATTCTACACCTTTTCCAGTTGATATTCAGAAAGTAGCAATTGATATTCAGAAAGCAGCAATTGATTTTCAGATATTGTAAATGAAATTCAGAAAATAGCAAATGTAATTCAGATATTTTAAATGATATTCAGAAAGTAGCTGATGTAATTCAGATATTGCAAATGATATTCAGACAGTAGCAATTGATATTTAGAAATTACAAATAGTATTCAGACAGTAACAATTGTAATTCAGATTATGTCAATTGAAATTCAGAAATTAACAAATGATACCATTTTCATACTTCATTTTACTTATTTTCTAAAATCTCAATTTAATGTATTAATACATTAAATTATATACTAATATATACAAAGAAATTTCTTTGTATATTGCTTTGTTTTCATGGAATTGACAATAATAAACAAATTTATCACCATTTAAGTAGGTATATTTGTCATAATTGTCAACTTATTACAAGTAAGGACCGAATTTTGTTCATTTGTACTTTATATAAATTTCATTTACTTAGTTAATAAAGATACTCATCGATTTACTGTATGCAACCCACTGTTCCTGAAACAATTGCTGCGGCTAAATTACATTTGATTTAATCTGAAAAACAATTGCTACTTTCTGAATTACAATTGCAAGTTTCTGAAAATCAATTGTGTTATCTGAATTACAATTGCTACTTTCTTAAAATCAATTGTGTTATCTGAATTACATATGCTACTCTCTTAAAATCAATTGGAATAGCTGAATTGCAATTCCTACTTTCTGAATATCAACTGGAAAAGGTGTAGTGTTTTTATTGTTTTATAATAATGCGGCTTATTTGTAGTAACGCGGTGTAAAGCCGACAAAAAAAAAAGCATGCCGCTCTTTAGGCGCGTGCCTAAAGCAAATTCGCTTCCGTTTTTATGCCAACGAACTAAAATTTCTCGCATGATTTTTTTCAGGCGGCATCTTCTGCAAAGGCTGGAGCGAAGAATGGATGGTGCTGTACGAAGACTCGACGTTGGCGTGGTACGCCGACAAGGGTCTTAGCAGGCCGCGGGGCCACGTGCGCATCTCGGAGGCCCCGGAATTGCTGGCGGTGGGCGAGTGGACTCGGCAGGTGCCCCGCAGGCCCCGTTTTCCAGCGCAGTGCCACGTGGGACAGCTGCTGGCCATCGGAAGCAGAGCCTTCCAGGATGTGCACTGGCTGATGGCGCAGTCGACAGCAGAAATCAAGTGAGCCATTTGTAATTTTCTACTGTACACAGTAAAAAAAAAAATCAACTCTAAGCAACACTAATGGGGCAGTTAAATTTTTTCTGACCTATACTTTTTATGGTTTTATTCAAGGCGTTTTGTAATATTAAACATTTCTGTGAAATCAGAATTTCAATTGAGTTTACCGTTTGCGAGATATTTACAAAAAATATAAATTTTTATGACGTCACAAACCTCGCCATGTGACCAACATTCTAAGATTTCTATTGGTTGAAAATTACCCTGTTGTCAAGTTGTCTTGTTAATGATTTCATTCGGTTATGTCAGAAAATACCCGAAGAGGTTATGTACAAATACTGTCACTGTCAGTTGAGTGAAAGATGGTCACCAAATTCATTAAGTACCTATCTTCCTTATTACGAGGTATCATATTACTGTTTGATATTTTAGAGTCCAAGATATATCTAAAAGAATATAAAGAACTAGGCATTATACTAATGAAATGCATTTACGACAAAATATGATTATAATTATAGGTACTTACTTTATTTGTTTAAAAGCTCCAATGTTCAATGTAACCAACCATTCCACAAGATTCCTCTGCTTTGGAGTCCGTTATTAATAAATCACTTATTTAATATCAATTACAAATAACATTGATTTTCAATAATCTAAATTTAAAAAAACATAACCCGAAAAAAAGAAACGTCAAAAAATTAATTTTTCTTCTTCTTCTCAACTAAAATTATAGATCAAGTGGTTTTAAAACTAAAATATTATAACGTGGCGCCATCTATCGTAAGAATCCTAAACTAAACACACTGGCAACCATAGTAAAAGCTGGCAACGTTGTCAATAGCCTAGTGACGTAATTAGGAGATTTTTTTTTTGTAAATATCTCGAAAACGGTAAACTCAATTGAAATTCCGATTTCACAGAAATGTTTAAAATTACAAAACGCCTTGAATAAAACCATAAAAGTATAGGTCAGAAAAAATTTAACTACCCCATTAGAGTTCACACAGGTCCACACTAAATGGTGTTGTTTTATAACACTATAGTATACAATTAGAGTTAATTTGTAGTGTAATTTTCCCCAAGTAAGCAAGTATGATTTAACACTATAGCACTGAGGATAAAGTAATTTTACACTGTATTAAAAAGTGTTAATTTACCTAAAATCGTGTACTTCTACACTTCCTGGGTAAAATCCCACTTTTGTTTAGTGTAAATTAACACTACTTTGGAAAGGTTCTAATTTTAGAAAGGTACTTTTACTCTTTTAGTGCAAACTTCTAGTGTAAATTAACACTATTATTTGAGTAAAACCTATAGGTGGTAGCGAATAAAACGAAAAGGTAAATAAAGAGAAACATTTATTTGGAACAAAAATCTATAACAATTATCAAAATCGGTGCCTTTTAAAATATAATTTTATATTTGAGTCTTATGGCTGGCTTAAGCAAAATGGTTCCTTAAAACGTAAAAGTTTTAGATCAATGCAATGTTTTACTGGCTGTCAACTTGTAAGCAATGAATTATCTTGAGAATTCATCAGTAATCCATTTTTCTGTTATAAAAAATGGGTGATCCCTTTGGTAGAGAAGCGTCAGGCGGCTGTATGTCGGGGATTTACCACACGTGTACAAATTTTTCATAATATTAATAAAAATGTAGGTATAGGCTAATATAACAACCATTACGCTTGAAAATAAAAAGTAAATCAAGTGTGTAATACACACTGTTTATGTATTTATATTATTAATGTTACAAGTATACTGGTATACGGGTATACCCGACCTACTGCCGTAAATTATTGATATATAATATAGGTCGGGTATGGACATCCTTTTAACATATTGGTATTTATTGAGTATTAAGGCTTAAAGAAAAACGAAATATAATACTTACCAAAAAATAAGAATGTCCCCTTATGGATTCATCGTAATTAAAATCTAACTGAACAAAAATGCCACACTTCCAAAACGCGGTATCTCCGGATATGCACTGCGTAGGTAGATAGGTACCAACCAAACATTTTAAAACGCATTTCGGTTATTACCAGTTTTTTCAGTCTATTTTGCCACTATTGCACTGTGGGCCCAATGTCCAAACTAGGTTGCATTAATTCAATTTTTTTTCTATTTACTTAAAACTTTAAAAATAATTAAACTTTGAGACTAACCAATGCTGGTAATTAATTATATAATTTATTTTTTCATTTTCCAGTGTTGCCACATTAGTATTTTTGGAAATTAATTTATAAAATACAGGGTTATCTTCAACTAGTGTAACAAACCATACCAACGTTATCTTCGGATCAAAATAAGTCGATTTAACCCAAATTACCTTTATACTAAGTTGCTTCGTTTAGTCGTTAGAGGTCTTTAAAGTTTTAAAAAATAACTATTTTTTTAATATCTTAATAACGTATTAATGTATTTCTAATATTTTTGGAATTTAAGTTTTAACTGCCAATTAACGTCGTTTGGTGCTAAACTCAGTTATAATTAAAAATTAGAATAATCAGAAAAGCAAGGTTAGGTACTAATTTTCGCTTGTATTTTTTTTACTGTTGATATAATGGTTTGCTAGGAAATAGAAAGCTTACTTTGTTTAAAAACTTTTTTGTCTCTTGTAAAAGTTCGATGAGCGGTTTAGCCAAAAAAAATTATTTTGTAATGTCTGCATACCTACTATCGATATATCGCGATAGTTACTATGTTTTATCCCGAAAATTGAACATTATAAATCTAGAGATTCCTTTTCTGAAAATAGTTCAATTTGACTCAACGCAGTTGCTTCGTTTAGCAGATAAAAAGTGAAATACAGAGTGTTGGTAATAGGTAAATGGTGTATAAAGAGGAGGGTTTTCGCATATTTTTTCGGTCACTTCCGGTTTCACCGGAAATGGGTCCAGGTTAAAAAAATTAAATAGAAACCCCTGTATATATTTACATTCTCGGATTCTTAACATAATTCTGGACTTAAATGTGATTTTTTAATGCCCTTTGAGCAATTTTTAACAATGCATCTAGGCCACCTTAATGTAATATTAAAAACGGATAAAAAGAAAAAGTAGGCGTAAACACTTTTAACAAATATTAAACGCCATGTATATAATTTTCTCATTGTCCAAGCAATACATGCGATAAACAACTTAAGATTCATATTAATTGTTAATATTTTCTTTTCTCAGAGGTTTACATTTTTGACTGGGATAAGTTTCGCGATTTTTTGCGATTTTTTTGGTTAACAGTTTTTAGTAGTCTACATTTTTGTCTAATAAAAAATATATATTTTGGCTTGGCATTCGTTGGCCTTCCTATTTTTTTACTCTGCAAAACTATAAAATTAAATATTCATGTTAATTACCTTATCAGTTCTTGCCAAAAACAAAAAAAAAACACGAATTTTCCATAATTTTATTTACCCAACACAACTAATTGACAGGTCTAATGTCAGTTATGAAATGTTTAAGGCGACTTTTGCTTTTTATGGCCCTCTATGCTATAAAAAAATTCGCAAAAATCGTAGTTTTAATTAAAACGATTGCATTAAAAATATACTTTCTTTTAAAGATCTGACATTGGGCATTTATAAAAAAGTCTTCGTAGAGTATTTTCAAAAAGCAATTATGTTTCTACAAGTTTAGATATGTTTTTAATAAAACAATAGTGACAAATTATACATTTTCAATAATGACTTATTGCAACCTAGTTTGGGCATAGGGCCCACAGTGTATTGGTGTAATTTAACTTTAATTATGATACAATTTGCACTAGTAGTGTAAAGAAAAAAGAGCTCTTAGTAACATCAAAACAGACTATGAAATTGGCATGCACTGTAGTGTAGATTTTGTCACTATTTAACACATTAAGGGGTAATTAACACTCGCATTAAGTTTTTCTACCCTTTTGATTTATTTTAATAATAAATAGTATGGATGTACCAATGAATAATGTTCATATTCTTTAAATGTGTTTAATAAAGTTAATAAGCACTAATTGCTACCTATAGTGTATTTTGTAGTATAACTTTTACACTTACAAATCAACTCTAATATTTTTACCCCTACACTAAAAAATTTACACGGGCAAAATTTTTTACTGTGTAATATTTAAAAGTTAAACCATTAACTTTCTCAAATGGCTTTATTCCTTAAGATTAATGGTCATGGTTTTATCAACATTAAAAATTAATGGACGCGTCTTGAGTAATTAATTTCATTAATGTCTTAGCATTAAAAACATGGCAAATTTAAATTAACCAGACTACACAAATTTAACACATTTTTTATTATTAATTTTTGTATAAAAAATTGTTTTAAAAATAACTTCACTTTAAGCCTTTTAAGTGGAGTGACGTACTTAAAAGAAATTGAATATTTAAACAACTTAGTCTTTTACCAACCTCAGCACTGAAATGCTTTTCGACAGAAATGCTAATTTCGAAGCTTCCCAATTTCAACTCTAAATTAGGAAAATAGAAGCAAACTAAAGGTTTACTTTGCTATTAAAGCAAAGATTAAATATACCCTTAAAAGGTATATTTTACCTTTGATTAAAGATACTGCAGTATATTTTTAAAATTAAATCACCCATGGGTGATTCCCCTAAATGATTCTTTCGTTAAGGCAAAAAGATCATTTTTATAAAAATTATTTATCTACAAACGCTGCTTTTAGTAATAGCATTTGCATTAATTGTCCAAAAAAACAGTTCTATACCGTTTACAAAAACTTTTTGTAGTATTAATGAAACAATAATGGTATTATTCATAGAAATCCCTTTTCGTTTAAATTAAAACTTTGTATTAATAAAATTTATGTAAATTTAACAACAAACTAATTGTTAATTCAATAAACTATTTTCATTGTAACAATGGTTCACATTTTCAACCTACTGTTGGGTGTTGGGTAGTTTTTTTTTTAATAATTGCAAGGCATTAAAACAAATTATTTATTATAACAAAAAAATTAACTCATATTATATGATGTACAAAATAAAAAAAATACG